AAAGCAGTCAAGATTTTTACAAATTGAATTATAATAACTTCCATGTACTTCTACTCCAAAGTTCAATGGGCTTTAGCAGAGAAGCAGAGGGGAGAGAGGGATGATTGACAAGTTTGTTATAAAGTCTACGGGAAGAGCGACTGCGCAAAAATTGCCAATGATACTTTGAAGAAAAAAAATCCTTGAAGACAATTATTTAAAGGAGACATTAGTCCAATAATAAATAAAAAGATGAAAATAATGAAGAACCAAACCCAAGTTTAGTCCACAGTGCTTTTATTTCAATGAATAAAAAACTAAAAAATGGTGCTGCTCTTACCAGTTACCTGTTTTCAAAAACTCAAGCTTACCACTCGCCTCACACTGCATAAAAACGGGTTTGTAAGGACATCGTGGAGCACAATGAAAACTTTGTGTTGGAAGAAAATGTTTGTGATCATGGATGAGGCCAGTGGTTGAGGACGAGACGCTCTGAAGGAAACTATACACTTCTTTTAGAAAACAGCACTTTTACACGGAAAAGTGGACAGATGCCACCTGGGAGGAAACGTGTGTGAAGCATGTAACAGAGTCAGATCAATGTCATGTAAAGAACTGTCGTAACCACTCCAGAGGACAAGAGCTGAGTTTTAAAGAACAAATTATATTACGTAATTCACAGAAGAAGAATTGGGAATGGCAACAAATAAAAATGCAAATCTAACTTCCCAAATATTTTTTTAAAATTCAAGTTGAAATCAGAGATCATTTTTGCCTGCTGCTGTTACAAAATTTTTGTATAAGTGACAATATATGGAATAGTACTTACACTAAAGAGAAGACGCTCTCACGTGGTGCAGGTGAGAGTGTACGTTTGTACAACTTTTGAGAAAGCAATTTGATAATGTACCTCAGAAGTGATAGTGCAGAGTTTATACCTAGTCCTTCCAATCCAACCTTCTGTCCTAAGAAATATTAGCAGGAAAGTATAGCCATGTACATAAACATAATTATTGCAACACTTTTCTGAAAGACTCAAAATTGAGAACCACCTAAATATCTCCCAGTAAGAAAAGTGACAGAAAACGTGATGCTCTCTGCACACGCCCCTGAAGAAGAACAGGGTAGCTCTGTGTGTGGGGTGAGAGGTGACCATGGGGTCCCAGGCAGGTGTCACTCAGCACATTCCATTTTGCACCAGAATAAATGTAGACGTGGATCCGACAGGAGAAACAGGCAAATAGGAAAGAGCAGCCTAGGAAACAATTGCAGCTCGTGCTGTGAAGGAAACCGAGAAATACAGTAGGCGTAATCCTTGATTCATCTCTTTTCCATGCACCTAACACCCGACAGCAGACCTGAAAACTCTACTGTCAAAATATATATCAAAAATTTCCACTTCCCCTCAGTTCCTCTGTGATGCTTTTCAGTAGCCTCCCCTGGTATGAACACCGAAACCTGCTCAGCGGCTTATCAAGCCCTGCCGCCCGCTTCTCCACCTCGGTCACCCCCGCCTGGCCCTGGCCACTGTTCCTGCTCCACACCAAGCTCATTCCTGTTTTAGAACCGTCGTCCAGTGGTTTTCAACAAGAAGGGAGGAGGACGAAGGCCCCAGAGGGAGTCTGGAAATGAGCAGGGGACGTGTTCGGCTGTCACAGTGCAGGGAGACCCACTGTCATCTGGATCCTAGGAATGACAAGCACTTTCCATGGGCATGACTGTCCCCCAGTGGTGCTTTGCTTCATCCAAGCACAAGAGCAGCTCACCAAACCCTTCCCTCTGACTAACTGCTCGTTCCCTAGTAATGGCAGTGTGGCTTTTCTTATTTACCTGTTTCTTACTGTGCTGCTGGGGATCAAGCCCAGGGCCGCGGGCATGCTAGGGGAGAGCCCTACCACTGAGCTGTGCTGCTGGGGATCAAGCCCAGGGCCTCGGGCATGCTAGGGGAGAGCCCCACCACTGAGCTGCACGGCAGCCTGCACTGTTACTTCAAATGACCCTTCCTCAGAGAGGCCTCCCTCTAACATGTTCTCTAGTCTCTCTGTTCATCTTTTCTCCCATCTTATTATCTATGTAGCTTTATCATCATCTGATAACTTCCTAATTTATGTACTTACGTGCTTGTTTGTCTGTTTTTTCCACTTATCTCCTCACCCCAACTAGGACGTAAATTTAAGGATAGTAATGACTATTATCTGTTTTATTCTTCATTCTATTCTCTAAGTGATGCTCGGTTCCTCACAGGGACTTAATAAACACTGCTGAATAGATGAAGAATAAGCATTTTTTTTTAAAATGAGACAATATTATTAAACACACCTGGTCTTGAATCCTACTCTGTTGCTCTGACCTTGGGAAAGTCACTTAACCTATCTGACCTCCATCGTTTTTTTTTGTTTGTTTTTGTTTTTTTTCACTTACAGAATGGAGTTACTAAAAGTTGACTTAGGGGATTGTTATAGGATTAGTAAGCACAAAGGTTGGGTGCTTTATGTAACTCTTACAAATAGGAAGTCAATAAAGGACAAGTATCATTGCTGCTCAGATACTTCGTAAGTAGACTCGGGCAAGAATAAGTCTTGTAGTAAGTGTCCCATTATTGTTAAATAAAAACAATAACCATCTAGCATGCCATAATGTAAACTTGGCTGTAAGGCAGAAAAAGTATACCCTACTCACATTCCTTTCAAAAGTGAATCCCAGCCAGGCATGGGGGCACACGTTTCCAATCCCAGTGACTTGGGAGGCTGAAGCAGGAGAATCACAAGTTCAAGACTGGCCTCAGCAATTTAATGAGACCCTGTTTCAAAATAAGAAGGTCTGAGAATGTGGCTCGGTGGCACAGCACCCCTGGGGTTCAATCCCTGGTACTAAAAAAAAGTGAATCTGCTGCTTGGCCATCTTCTCCATCGGCTACTCTCTCTTCCAAAGTGGAAGCAATCTTTCATGGTATTTGGGAAGGTAGGAAAAGCTAGTTGGCCGTCCAGTCGACCACATCAGGGGGCTGAGAACAGAGTGACAAAGGAAGCACAAGCATCTCAGCCCCTGCAATTCTGGTCTCCTCATCACCCCCTCCTGAGCCGTGCCTGGGCCTCCAGAATTTCTTAGAAGCTGGAACACGGCCCACCCCAGTGATGCACAGAGGATGCTGAGGTTGAGGTTGGTGCCCTGAAGCTCACACTTGAGAGTTCTGTTTAACACCTCACTCTCTTTCTCACCACCTCGTCAGGGTGGTGTCTCCCCCATGAAGTTGGGGCCAGGAGAGCAAACACTTTTCATGGCCCATGAACCCCCATCTCTAGGCTAGTTTCTGTTGTGAGGGTCTAGAATTTTAGGTCATTTATTCAAGGACAGAGACAAGCCTCTGTGTAGCTTTCAGAATCATCCATCAACCTTTTCCTCCAATCAAGAACAACTTGTAAAACTCTTTCTTCCAGGAAATGTATCAAGTTCCCTTCTGCAGCCTGAGGTGGTGAGGGAATGGTGTCAGGATGCCGTGTTAGCTCCGAAACAAAGGAACCTACCGGAATCTTGCCTAGAGATGCAACCAAGGTGCCAACAGATACCTATCCAATTCTCTGGGCTCATGTGCAATGGCTCTGGTCTTGCACACAGGGTCTCACATGTTTGCACACTTAAGAGTTGACAACAAAACTCACAATGTTTTTGAAGTGGTTTACCTACAGAAAGCTGGGCTGCCTCATGAGAACCAAGAGGTCCTGTCCCCTTGTGGCAAGCCAGGCTGGAGGAGGGGACACCCCTTCCCATCTTGCAGGATGACCCTGCATTGGCTGTAAATAAGGATGGCATTGAGTTTAAGTGTTGTTTCCCTAGTCAAATGCTTAAATATCAAATGCTTAAAGTCAAATGCTTAATAGTATTTCAGGAATTAGAATAGCTATCAAAATGGTGAATCATACCAGACTGTGACTAGGACAGAATATATTCAATAAGTTCAACTAACATTTATACAGAATCTGATGCAGGCCAGCTGAGGTTATGTGTATTATTTTGTATTTAGAAAAACATTGAGGGCAAGAGGCACAAGAGAAATGTTAAAAGGCTATGTTAATATAAAATAGTATTCATTTGTTTTTATACCACAGAGGATGGAATTTATCTGTTCTTCCTACTATTTTAATGGCTGGTGGGACCTTATGTGTGGCAGGATTATGGATAATCAATTTCATGGAAAACTAAACATTAGGATTTTTTCACCAATGACTACCAGGAGCAGTGTGAGGAGCCCACGGTCCTGCTGGCCTCCCCGCGACTTCCTGCACCAGAGTGCTCTCCGTGTACTTGGCATTAACGACGTGCCTGCCCAGCTGTGAGGACAAGAGTTGGCCTCCTCGCTTTACGCTGCCTCAAGGTGTACACATGCTGCCAAGGCCACTGCAGAGCTCGCGGAATTATGGAGGCTGGACTCGGGCCCAGGCCTCCTGACCCCAAGCTCAACCTCTTCCCTTCTCACTTTACTAGAAGCAGGAGGCCATCGTGGCAGAGGGGCAACAGGGTGATTCAGAGGGACAGTGAGCAAGAGACAGACGAGAGACCAGTAACTCAGGAAGAAACAGGAGAAGAAAATCTAAAAGCCGCTGTCACTAGATCTCTATCTACAGCATCACCCTCTTGGTCAATTTTCAGTTCCTACAACAGTACACCAGACTTGGCGTGTGGGGGCTGTAAAAGGAACTTGTGTAGCTCCCAGTTCTGGAACTGGGGAGTCCCAGGGCATGGCGGTCATGTCTGACGGGGGCCTTCGTGCTCCCTTGTAGCTTGGCAGAAGGTGAAAGGGCAAGTGACGTGGAGAAAAGAAAGCACACATGAATTTGCTTTTGTAACTAGCTGCTCTGGTGGAAATTCCCCCAATCCTGGGACAATGACACTAGTCCCTTCACAAGGGCCCTGTCCTCATGAACCAACCATCTCTTGTTAGGCTCCATCTCCCAAAAGCAGCACATCGAGGATCAGGTTTCCAACATGAGAATTTGGGGGACACACTCAGACCATAGCAGTCATGAGACCATATATATCTTTATTTATGTATATAATACATACTTATGCAATGAACTTCACGTATATTTCTATATAATACAGAGTATGGATATTGGGCAAAGAGAGACTGAAATCAAAATGCAATTATAACATTCACCTCTCATAAGAAGTGTCGCTGGAAATTAATGGAATGAGGCTCACGGAGAGAGCACTGTCATGTAGGTTCTAGAAGTCTCTTTGCATATGGAAACCCTAAGTGTTCAGTTTAGGGTGAGATGGCTAGGATCAAGTCCCAGCTTCACCATCTATACACTCTGTCCCCTTGAGCAAGGCCCATGACTTTTCCGTTTCAGCTGCTTTCATGTATGAAACAAGGGTAACAATCTGCATGACAGGGCTGTTGTGAAACCTGAACAAGATAAGGTACGAGAGAGCTTTGGGAGCCATGCATAGAGTGTGTGGAACTTAAAAACAGAGGATTTAAAACCTAAGAAAGAACTTTATAAAATGCAATATCATCCAGTGCAGAAACAGATGCTCAGTAAGGCCCTTCTGCAGGAAGCTTGGAGATGAGAGTATGTGGCCACCTGGAAATATGGCGGAAGCACTCCTGGCTTGGAGGGGAAAGTCCCCATTACTATTTCTGAGATCACATCTGAACCCAAGGTCTGCAATGAGTGGCATTCAGCAACTGGAACAGCTTTTGGTTTTCCTGTGGTAATCCCAACATACAACGTTTTCCTTCCTTCTGGAGGCTGTTACAAAGTCTTGTCTATGAGCAGACTCATGCAAAACCCAGAGGCTGGCCGGCCTCTGCCTTCCACCAGCTGAGCCAGCCCCGTGGCACCAACTCAGCAACACAAAGGAGGAAACAGTCTTCTGCCTCCATTCCAGACTGTGCCTCCTACCAAGGTCAGCACCCACCTCTGCCAGCTACTCAGATCAAAAGTCAGAGAATGACCCCTTCTGTCACTCCTGAGCCAGTGAATATATTAGTTAACTCTAATGTCCTCGAGAGCTGTCAACAGCACAGTCAGCAGCCCCCTTGCTCACACTGCTGCTGTCCCCCATTGGGCTGCTCAGGCAGCCTTCTTACCATCTCCCAGGTCAGAGCTGGACTGGCCACAGCCTGTTCTCCATGAACAACTGGATGTTCCTTTTACATTACGTGTTATCACCTCCCAGCTGTCTAGTGACTTTCCATCACAATTAGAATAGAACCCACAGACCTTTCCACATTTTCCGGGCCCCACATCATCTCGTTCCTGGTTACTCCTCCAATTTTATTTCCTACCGGTTTCCCCTAGCTCACCTTAACCAGCCCCCTGGCCTCAGGTGCCCAAACAGCTCTGGGACCCAAGGCTGGGTGTGGCGCTGTCTCTGCTTGGTGGGCTCTGCCCAGGCTCCTCTCCTTCCTGTCAGGCACCCTTTCTCCCTGGTGCTCTGCTGCCTGACCTGCTTACTTGTTCTTCGTAGCACTTCCTACCACGTCACCTGAATATTGATCTGCTTTTTTTTTTTTAATCGTCACCTTCTCTCCATTAACACTAACTCCACAGAGGTTTTGTTTTCCCTTGTTCCACAGTATCAAGCACGGTTTCTAGGACCCAGAAGACACTGGAAAAGCACTTGTTGAGGAATGAACAAATAAATAAAGTGCCCCCCTCACTTCGAATAGGAATGTGGGGTGGCGTCTTCAAGGAGATACTTGTGGAAGATGGGGGAGTGGTGGAGAGAGACAGCTCACACACATGTGCCATAAGGTGATCTTTCTCCATTACCCCAAACCTCCGGTGAACTCCGTCCACACACAGCAGCTCATGGTAAGAAGGCCTTGAAGACAAGAGAAGTGTCCCCCAGAGGCAGTGGTAGGAGCCCTGAGTGAGTGGCCACTGCTAGAGTCCAAAGCAGAACCAGGAAACTGGCTGCCGTGGGGACTGCCCAAGAGAAGGAGGGTCTCTCCTGAGTGTCCAGGGGCCTGGAGAGAAGACTGCACTTCCCACAGAAGGCGGGGTCAAAGGTCACATCATCCCATTGAGAATCAGAAGGAAGGATGGCCCCAAAGCCTGAGAGACTGGGTGGGTGGGGGAGAGAGACATCTACACTGCCTTTTCTGCCGTTTTTCCAGAAATGTGGAGAGGGGTCTAGCAGGAGGGGGAAGACTGGACCCATGTGGGCAGCCCTCCATTGAGGAGGTGCGTTCCACCCACTGGGTAGACTCTGGGGCCCAGCACCCACCAGGTCCTCAGGCTGGCTGCCTTCCAAGAGAATCGAAAAGGTCCCTGGCACTGTCAATAGGTCTATTGTTTCTGAACAGGACTCATTTCTGAGCTGTATTAATCCTATTAGTCCTAATAGGAATCATTAATAGAATCTCCTTAATCTGATTCTGGATGATCCAAAACCTTGGAAAGTTAAAAAAAAAAAAAAAAAAAAAAGTAAAATCCATCTCTACTAACACCAGATTTTACTCAGGTCCCTAAAGAATGTAAGTTAACATGCTGCTTCAAAAAGGGACCAGAGAGGTTGGGGTTGTAGCTCAGTGGTAGAGCGCTTGCCTCACATGTGTGAGGCACTGGGTTCAATTCTTAGCACCACATAAAAATAAATAAAATAAAGATAGATATAATATGTTTATCTTTAAAAAGGGGGGGGCGGCAGAGAATGTCTAGGACTCAACCCACCACAGAGAGCCCAGGGTCTGGCTTTGAGGGGCCTGGCTTCTCCCTTCCACTTCCCTCTTCCGATAAGTTATCATTGCGAATTTGTCACCCTCACCATGATGCCCACAGCAGAGCTCTTTCCTGTTCAGCTGTGGTAAGTCAAAACCTACTTCAGAGAACACAAAGTCACCACTCTGAGGGGCTAAGGAAAGACACGGGTTTTGTGTGTTTTTAGTTGTTTGAAAAAACAAAAAGAAAGAAGAAACCTCGAACAACTGAACCAGCAGAAGCCTTTTTTGTGTGAAACCTGTGTTCTACTTTGGGGTTAGCTTTTCACAGAGGAGCAACGGCAGGTCCCACCTTCAAGGAACAAAGGTCCTGGGTTTCTGACATTCCCTACGTTCTGTGTTAGAGAAAAATAGCTCAGTGTTTCAAACGAATTGTTAACACCTCTTCCCTGGAACCAGTCCTGAAAGCACAGTAAGCTCTAATCCTGTCTTCAGAGGATCCCAAAGGTATCCTAGTGCAGCTGAGGCTTGGAGAGATCTTGGGCCAGTGGTGTCACCATTAGCTGATGGCACCAAGTCGTCTCAGGATGCCCAGCTCCATCCCCACTGCCTCTTGCTGTGATACAAGGTACTATTATCTAGAAGGTACCATTGACCAAAAAAATCATACATATACCAGAAAACTTTCCATGACCCCTGCAACTGGCACACTTGATGGCTGAAGTCAAAACAGGAGGGAAAAGACAAGGAGGATTTCATCATGGTGGCTGGAAATGCGGATCAGCAGCCCAGGTAAGGGCAAAACCTCTCTGTCTTCATGAGATGTCCAGTCAGGAACCTCATCCTCCAAAGTAGATGAGTGAAGTTTTAGGAAGATTAGATGACACCTTCCAACCTGGAACTTTGGTTTTGTTCTTTAATTTATTCAACAAATACTTATTGACTATCTTCTAAATGATAGTTTTACTGAAGCAATGGTAATTTCCTTCAGCCCTCTCCTAACTAAACTCCTGGCACTACCAGAAACCAGCTGTATCTTTCTTATTTTCCAATGCTGTGAATTAGTATGATTTAGTATCTGGAACCTCAAACTCCCATTGAATAATCTACTCAAAGCTGGATTATTCACATGCTCAGGAGATTGCATAAACATGGATTCCCCAACTCCTAAATCATACACATCCAAAGCTGAGAGACCCTTGCCTTATAATTAAGGTTATTTAGTCAACAAATGTTTATTGAATGCTTAATATGTCCCAGGTACTGGGTTAAGTGATTTGGATAGAGGAATAACAAGGAAGAAAAGGCTCTGCTTTGGGAATTTCTATTCCAACAATAGAACATTGGAAAGAGAATAGGCCCTAGTTAGGATGGTCTGAGAGAAGATGACATTTGAATTCCATGTGAAAAATCCAAGCAGAGCATCCTGGAGAAGACAGCGGAGGCCTTGTGGTGTCCCACCTGCTCAGCTGTCTGTATCTACCTGGGAAATGGGAGGGAGACGGAGGGGAAAGAAAGGTTCAGGTGCAGATTCATTCTGTTTGGTCTGGGTTGGGTTGTCTGTTCTGAAAGGGCTGCTTTAACACGAGTACTTGCTGTTAGAAATGATTTCCTAGATGGGGCTGGTCTGGGGGTTAGGGGACAGAGAAAGATACTTTAAGTGGCAAAGAAGGAAAGAGGAAATGTGAGCCTAGTGGCAAATGGATCGTTCTCTTCCTGCAACCAGACCAAAGGAAGAGGGGGTGTCGATGCAGATGGAATTGAGTTTTGTGTGGAAGGAAGGTTACGTGGTGGGAGGTGGGGATGTGGCTGATGATGCAAGAGGGAAAATATGACAGAAATGACTCAAAAAACAAAAGCCCATCTCACTAGGGAACCGAAGAAACGGTGCTGGCAGTGTTGAAGGGCCACTGGAGACCTGTGACCATGAATGTAAAGCAGTGGCTTTCAACCAAGGGTAACTGTCCTCCTCTCACCCCCAGGGACAATGTCTGGAGGTAGTTTTGGGTTGTCACATGTTGGGTGGGCAGATGGGGGATGCTCCTGGCTTCTATCGAGCATCGGGCAGGGATGCGGCTAAGCACGGCACAACTCCCAGGATGGCCCTCAGCACAAAGGATTGCCCGCCGTGGGATATCAGCAGAGCCCAAACTGAGAAACTCCGACATAAAGTGGTGTCAGGGTTATGTACACACCATCTCTGGAAGGCTGCACAATGAGACGGTGATCTTCTATGAAAGTAGAAATGGGGCCGCAGGACAGAATGAGAAGAAGACTTTCATCCTATATCCTTGCGTTTTCTTTTAAACTTTGTACCTGTACACGTTGCCTATTCGAGTCAATCAAAAGATAGAAATAAGTCAGTAAGAAGTCAATAATGGATGGGCTGACTTAAATACACAATAAATAAAAATAAGATCAGCCATCCTGTTTGGGCAGTTTTTCTCCAGCAACATGTGGCTGCTGATATGTCAACCGAAAGAAATGGATCCTTATGAGCAGAACACAAGGGAAGAAGGAATCATTCTGGAATTAAGAGTCTTTCCAAGGCACTGATTCTAATGGAAGGATGAAGGAACTGGGCAGAGAGGGAAGTGAAGCTGGGGAAGGACCTGATGAACACTTTAGGAAAAAGATACAGTTTATTAATTAGAGATCTCAGTATTTTAAAAATATTTTAGAAAAGAAAATGTTGGAGTAATTGAACTAGAACCATACCTGATAATGTTATGAACAGAAGACACCAAAAACCAAAATCCAGAGGATGAATTTTCAATGATAACAAAGTCAAGGGAAAGGCCATGATTGTGAGTAGCTGAAGAAAACAGCCAAAGGTCCTTGTGAGGAGTGGGAGGACACAAGTGACCAGGTGTCTGGAGGCACCGCCCCAAAAGAGCTTCTTCCCGAGAAGAAAGCACTTCTCTAAGAGAGTTTATGAGCAATCTTGGGTACCATTTCTTGATGTCCTACAGCATGTCAGATACTTTGTGCACATATTAGCTCTTTTTGGCCCAAGAAAGTTCTAGTGATCTGTCTAGAGCCTGTGAAGTCAGTAGGTGGAAGAACAAAGATTCAAATTCTGTTTTTTTAGTTCAAAGTCTGTGCCCTTTCCACCAGACCATGGCTCTGCCCCAGGAAGACACCTCGTCATCAAGTATCTAGAAAGCTGGGCAAGCTTAGCACCATCAATTACATTGATAATGGAAACTCTGGTTCACAGAGGACAGAGACAGAAAAAGAGGGAAGAGCCTGGCACAGATGAAAGGATTTGCAGCACAGTTCTTCTCACCTTAAAAAATTCTTCTTAATGTGATCTTAAGTCACAATGAAGAAACCATAGATAAAAAAACAAAACTAACAAGCAAAAAACCCAAATCTTGGTGATTTCCAAAACTTACACTCACAATACTTTTGTAGATGCTAAAGTGGAGCTTTTATTACATGTCAACCATTCATTAAAAATGCAAAAAAATAAATATTGGTTATATTAAAGGAAAACAGCATCAAGAGCTGAATGTCGGTGGGTGACAAAATTTTTTGAAGACTATTACACTTGGTTGCCAAGAAGCATTCAAAACAGTTTTTCCTAAATACATACTTCATGATCTCACATTTGCTCTATGTATGTGACTCTTTAGACTGATTCACTCTCTCTCTCTCTCTCTCTCTCTCTCTCTCACACACACACACACTCTCTCTCTCTCTCTCTCTCTCTCTCTCTCCCTTATAATTGCACTAGAGATGTATATGGTGTAGGAGTGGACCAAGTCCCCCAAACACTCCTTTCGCTTCTCTGATAGCATGGCCTGGTAGCCCAGGATATGCATTTAGAAGTAAAGATGCCACCAATGGGGTGCTGACCTCCTTGGGTCTCTTTAGCTTATCATGCATGCCTGGTTCTCCTTCCCCATCCCTGTTATAACCATGGATCTGAAGACAGCTTTCCCTGAGGTAGCAATTAGACCCACCCTGGGAGTTGGGTTCGAAGGTGTCCTCCTTTTCCACGTAAGTTGTTCTTGGCCACTTAACATGGGTCTAGACCTCCAGGCAGCGGCTTCTCTATGTCCTGCACCTTTGCGTGGCAGCCCAAAGCTCTGTGTTCTTCAGCCATATTCCTCTTCCTCTCTGGCTCATGGACCTTGGGTGAGATGAGGAACTGCAGACCTGCTGGACTCTGTGGTCTCAAGGTCTTTGTGGTTATGTCTTTGCACTTGAACTCAATAGGCTTAAGAAGACCTTCATTCAGGCCAATGTCCCCAGTGCCCGTAACAAGGAACCACAGGGAGAGAATCCTCAAGTGCTTCTCTTAGAGCTTATATAAACCAAAAAATGTCTTAGATTCCTCAAAATTGACCAGAGAGAGCTCAGATACGTTGACATATAAATGGTCATTACTGGTGAAGTTGAACACAGCCCCCAGATAGCTGCTGCGGGCCCACATCTGGCCAGTAGTGCAGTAGTTCATCATCTTGCCCTCCATCAGCACCAGGTCCTGGGGATACTTAGAGTTCTTCATGTAGACCTTGTGGCTCAGGGGCTGGTTGTTGCAGGACTGACCCCGGAAGTATATTTTGGAATACACAAAGTACAGCCCAGTGTCATTGATCACAAGGCCACCCTTCTGATACTTCACTCCAGAGATCAGGGAAATTCCGTAGGTGTCTTCCCATTCCAGCGGGCTGGACCTTGAGTTGGGCTTACCTGAAGTCAATCAGAGAGGAGCCGTCAGCAAGGAAAGCTCATGCAGCCAACAAGCTAACTTCCCAGGCAAAACTACGGGCCTTTCCTTCAACAAATGTTCTATCCAGAGTGAGGTAGCTCCCACCGAATGGGTGGAGGGGTCAGAACTTGGCCCATCACTGAATTCTCTTTGTCAAATTGCCTGTATCAATCTTATCATCTACACAATAGGGACAATAACAAATGCCCCCAGTCGACTGCAGTAAAAATTACTGAGATAATTTCAGCTATCTAAAACAAAGATTTTATGATCTTCAGAACTAGAAGCAACACTGCTAAGCTTTGTGGTCCCTCCCTGAAAGGAAAAGCCAAATCCAGGGAATTTAAAGATGGGTAGGACCTACATGGGTAGGACCTAAGGGATCCTTGCTCCATCTTCTCACCACAGCCAGGATTCTTCCACCCCTCTATTTGGGCTGAAATTCTCTATCCCTCACACCTCCCCTCTATGTCCAAACCTTAATCAAAGAACTCGCTCCAGTACTGAACTTATGGCTGTGTGCCTGTATTTCCCTATTAGATGTCAAGCTCCTTTGGAGGCAGGAACCATGAGCTCTCTGTCTCCATGCCCTCAAAGTTTGGCACACAGCAGGTGCTCCTTAAGTGTTTGCTGGTCTACCTGAATCAACCTACAGCCTCTGCCTGAGAAACTGCAGAAGCAGTGGCACAGCACACAACCTTGTGCGACCTTTGTCTACTTCTCCTGTATTTGTGGTTTCCAGTGGGAGTGCCCATCCCATCCCGACAGCCACCATTTCACCGCCCATTGTAATCCCACGCTGAAGCCCCAGGGCCAGGGCTGAGGCTGCCTCTCACTCCTATTTCTCCTCGGGAAGCAGAATGAAACTTCCAGAAAATCAGAGAAGCACTAAAATAGTTCACCACTCACTCCCCACTCTTCTCTGTGGCAGGAACCCCTCAGGGTCTTTGAAATGTTTGAAAAGAGTGGGCTCCCTCGGGTCTCATTCACTCCATAGCTCCAGTCTAGCACTCGCCCAGAGCAGGGGCATGCGACTGACCCCCCTAGAAAGCTGTTTCTTGGGTTCCAAATACTGTTGCTGGAAAGCGCTTGTCCCCAGAACTGGTCACGGAAACCATTCTGCGCTTTGCCAAAGGCTTTCCCAGCCCCCACCCGGGGCTTGCAGACACAGACCTGTTAAATGGGCCGCTCTCCTCAGTGCCTTTTTATCAGAGGGTGAACTGGGGTGGCCTGTATCACAGAGAGACAAAAGACGTACGTAAAAATGAGATGCCAGCTACTACCATGGTGGAACTCAATCCCATTTGAATAAAAGATTTTAAAAGCATAAGTGGCGATATTCTGAGAGATTCTCAACAACAGTCTGTGTTTCAGAAACAGGTTGAACAAAGTAAACCAAATTGAAATAGACATATATATTCATTGTAATGTTACACTGTGCATAAAACTGTTGTATCAGTTACTTCGTTTAGAACTTCCCATAGTATTGGAGGTAGGGATTATTGTCCTGACTTATAGTTGACAAAGTGAGCTTGGAAAATGGATGACTAGTCCAAGAAGACTCAGCATTCAGAGTCACAGATGGGACCGATGCCCAGTCTCCTGCTCTAATCCAGGGCTCTGTCCACTCTGGCTGTGCTGCCCCAGGGTCACAGAGAAGAAGACTGCTAATGTGTCTCCTGGTTACCAGGTCTCTTCCTACAGGCATTGTACAATCTGCACCCACATCAATCATTCTAAGTCCTCAGCCACCCATGTCATTGAGACCTCAGAACCTCTGTGGCCCCACGTGATTTCAGCCTCACTTCCTCCTGCTCACTCCCACTGGACACTGCCCCTGGTCCTCTGCCTGGGCCTGCACTCACGCAGTGCTGTCTGCCTGGATGCTGTCCCAGAGAGATTTCTGTGCCAAACTTCAATCCATTCTCTAAGCTCTATCGAAAATATCTCCTTCTTTGGGAAACCTTCCCAGATTTAAAGTCAACTATGTTCTTTCTCTCCTTTGAAACCTAAGACCCCTCCATTTTTACTTCTCCTGTCAGTTCTGACTCCCCTTTTCTAAGGAGATGTCCCCAATCAATTACATTGAAAAATTCTGAGATAAATTTAGCTCTCTGAAACAAAGATCTTATGATCTTTAAAACTTGAAAGTTTTAAACTTTGTTGTCCCTCCCTGAAAGGAAAAGCCAAATCCAAGAAATTCTAAAGTTGGATAGGAACTTAGGGATCCTTGCTTAATGTAAACATTGTCTTATTTCTCTCCCCTCAAATAAATAGCAAGTTCCTTACTATATGCTGACTTCATCAGAGTGAGTTCAGCCTGGTTCCTAACACGAAGCGTGCCTTCAGCAAATGCTCAGCATATTAAATCAAAGGAGTTGAAACTGATAATATTTTCCTAACCCAGACACTGTTTCTCCGACCTTTAATACGTTAGCCAAGGTAGAAAGTTGTCACTTAGCTAATTAACTCAGCTAACTAAGATATTCAGGAACAACTCACAGGAAAGATGCCTATCCATCTCAGGCTAGTGATTAGCCTATGAAAGTCCCCCAGGTGTGAAAATGGCCCTGTCCCCTGTGAATATTACCTGAGCAGTCGTGATCTCTTAGCACCCAAGACAAACCACCTTGAAGGAGGTGTGAGTGAGCAGGAAAGGCAAAACTGAGTTTCCTCTACATTCCCATACCACAGCCATCCGAGCAGCTCTGCTAGCACGTGGCCACAAACTTAACAGGAAATGGAACCGAAAACCACATGTTCGCATCATGATATCCTTCAGAGCCTAGTATAACACTCTCCTCATACAAGGTACTCACTCTAAATATCTGCTGGATAAATATTAGAAAGGCATCCTAGACAGTGGTGGGGACTCCTTCCTACACCAGGGCTTTCTACATGCCACTGGAAGCACCTACTGGCTTGCTCTTGTCTACCTTCCCACTAGTTGAAAGTGCCATGCGGACAGACCTGCTTGCCTCTCCCATCCTTGATCACCCCAGCGCCCATCCTGACACCCAGGAGGCACTACAAGGCCACCTGTGGGTGAGCTAGCTGAGGGAAAAATGGAAAACGATAAAAGGAAATGAAGTGTAAATAATCCATGATAGTATCTCCAGGGAAAGTCTCTGTTAACACGCTGGGTGTGAAATGGCTTAGTTCTTTTCTGAGAATGTAAAATATTCACATGTGCTTTAATAGTCAGTAGTAAACTAAACACACCCCTCAGCACACATCTCTTCTTCTAACAATATAGAGAAATGCCCTCTATCTCATCTGAGATCCCCGTGACATTAAGTGTTCTTCTGACACACGGTCATCAGTTGGTATGGATTATGTGCTCACCAGAATACACCATATGTTTTTAACTAATCTCTTAAGAGGCATTTAGGTTTCTTCTGAATGTTTCTTATAAACAGACTTATGAAAAGGTGATAAATATCCTTGTAAATAAATCTTTGAGCCTAAGTTTGATTATTTTCCTAAGATAAATTTTCAGTGATGGTACTGCAAAGTAAACTAACAGCTTCAAGTCTGTGATACATATATTCCAAACTGCTCTTCAGCAAAGTTCTGGTAACTTCCATGCATACTGGCTGAAACTAAAATTTAAGCAGGTCTTTTCCTCTTATGTCTTTCTTTGCATGTTTTATATCTCTTATTAGTAAAGTTACTAATTTGATTTCCATATGATCATTCACCAATTTCTGGTCCATCTGGGTAGATGTAGAGAAGATAATTCTTTACTGTGGTTGGTAGACCTGACTCATCTTTTCATTTGACTTCAAAACACTAAAATAACTCCAAGAAGTGGGTGAAAAATGAATAATTAGGTGCCCATCTCACAAGCCACATTCCACTGATTTTCAAAGTGATTGTACTTTAGAAATCCTCCAAGAGGCTTCAGTGTTCTATTAGTCCCCCCCAGCTTGTGTACATCTGGGCTCTCTAACATTTAGGAACTTGGACACAGAACTTAGGCCCAGACATCCCAAAGATGCGGAGCTGCCCAGGGTCAACGGCAGTAGGCACATTCTGAGTCTCCACCAGCTGCACTGAAGATGGCCAGGGTTTGCTGTTGCCAGGAAACTTTCTACTAAGTTTCTAAGGATAAGATTTGCCTATCATCTTCGCGGAGGTATCCTGCTTGGCATCTTTTCTCCATTCCATGGCTATTACAGAGACAGGAGTTTCTCTATTTCATGAGGCACCAGACCATGTCCTGGAAGGACCTATAGGTGACAAGCCATCAGGAGACTTTCATCTAGCCCCAGTTCCATGCTGATAGTCTTGGGCATATTATCTAATTCATCTGTTGTTTCTCTTCTAAAAAATAAGATATTTGGACCAGGGAAGCTCCCTTCTAATTCAAACCAAATCTAAAACTTCAGTGAATCTGTGTTTATGACAAATGAAGAATATCCTAAACTTTATCTGTCTACAGCTTCCTAAACTCTGCCCTGAAATCTCATGAGGTCAGTGTTTCACATGTCTTCTTCTTCCTGTCCCAGATCCCAGGCAAAGGGTTTTCCTTTATTGTCAAAGGCAGTTCATGAGTCTTCTGTGGGTGAAGCTGAACTTCCTTTGAAGAACAGCTGAAGTGTACCCTCGGGTCCCCAGTGACTTCAAAAGAACCCCTACTGTGGGCAATTGATTGTCCACTTTTTGAAATCTTTGTCATGTCCTATAAAATACTTTAAAATAAAGCTTAGCTCTAATCATTTCTAGAGAGTTTAAAAGAGTGGAGGACATTCCCCCCAAACATCTCCCTTTTTCTCCCATGGAGTCACAGCCACTACCACCTGTCCCAGAACCAGGACACGTGAGAAAGGGCCAGGCCTGGGTCAGTGGTCTGGAGCTGGGGGCAAAGGCCCAGGTCTATTTCTCTTTTCAAAGCGAAGTGGAAGTTAGTTTGAATTATGAACAGTGCTCAGCTACCTGATTTTGAGCAATTAAATTCACTTAATATTTTAAAATAGTTTAAGGAACCATATTGACCAGAGATTCAAAATTAGCCAGGATTCCTCTCATAGTATTCATAAACCTAAGAATGGGACAAAATTCAAGACATTCCACCAACTTTGTTCAGTTCTGAGGATCATCTTTGGGAACTCAGGGCTCTTGTATAAAAGGACTCACCTATTTGCTTCTCCAAAGATGGTTCTGTATTTCTTTGATTGATTGACTAGCAAAAGAGAAAGAGAAAAGTTGTATAATTAGTTATCAAAGCAGAATTGTCAACTAAAGCAAGCCCTAGAAAGATAATTCAGACACCTCAAATCCTTGCCTAACTTAGACTTTAGCCAAGCAATTGTGCCTCACTGTCCCTCAGTTTTGTGTTTTGGAATAGTACCGACATTTTAAAAATCTTTTCAAGGAAATTTAATTTGGTCTATGAGTCAATTCCTTCTAAGCAAGACTCCAAATTATTTCAATTCCTCGAATCCCTAGTTATGAGGTGGTAAATGGCTCAACCGACTGGCCTGATAACTGAGAAAGGAAGGACTGTTTGCCTTTGATTCTTTACAAGAAAATATTCCCTTCACTTGTGTGAGCCAACATTCCCTCGCCAACAGGAGGGTGACGACAGCCATTGGTTCGGAAGACAGGACAAGAAGGTCTGAGGAGCACCTCACAAGCAGGGCAAGGCTCCATCCATGTGGCTCACAGCTGCCGGCCACCCGCACTGTAGCAGAGCCGTCTTGCCCAGCGACTCCTGGGCACAGAAGCCCCCATACCAGCCTTACCTCGCGGAGTTCTGCCAGTTCCTTTTGCAGGTGGAAGAGCTGATACATTCCCAGGCCCAGTCCAACCAGGGCCACCAGCACCATAAAGAATATCACAAGGAGCCACAAGCCTGTGTTGTGGTCCCTGCTCTTCTTCAGAGGCGGTGGTGGCAATGGGGGCAGCGGAGGCAGTGGTGGAGGTGGCGGTGGAGGTGGGGGCGGGGGCCTCCGTTGACCCGGCCTTCTGGGCACAGAGGATGGACAGGCGAAAACGGACTCTGGAGGGGCCCAGGAAGAGCTGGCACTACTGTCCACCCAGTAGATCTGGGGATACGGGTAGTTCAAGGGCTGCTGCATGGCAGCCAGTGGCTCGGGTCAGCCGCAGGGAAGGGTTTTGTTTCTCTCAATCCTGCGGGAGGCTGAGGTGTCGAGGTCGAGGTCGGGACTCCTGTTGCTGACTGCTCACGAGAAGGGAACGCAGCTGTCTTTATAGTGTTTCCATAACTGAGGGAAACACCTCTCTCTCCCTCTCTCTCTCTCATTCTCTTTCTGTTTCTCTTGAAAGACACCCACTCGCTTTGTATCTGAATCTAAAAAGCCTCAAGAAGCTCAGAGTAAACCCCTGGAAGCTTCCGCCCACAAGTTTCTGATGAATGCCTTCAAAGCTCTGCTTGCTGTCAGCACCCAAAGAGCTGGGAGGCAGTGCCCACCGTGCTCTGGTCCAACAGAGCAGTCGGCACTGGGTGCAGCCTTGGGCATTAAATGGGACCCAGCTGCAGAGAGACGGACCAGTGGGGCGTGTGCAGACCCTGAGGGGCGAGACCCTGGAGTCATGGCCAGAGAAGCCACCTGCACATCCTACCTTTAGCATGAGGAAATCCCCCCCACACTCCCCACACACGCCTTTGGTTTCCCACACCCAAGTGTGATTTACCCCGACATTGCATACCATCATAACTGACAGGTTAACACCTGCCCTGTCCACTCCACAGACCAGCTCAGAGGTGGTCAGAGGTTGCAAACCAGCTGCCCATTGGCTTTGAGAAGCCTCAGAACTGCTTTGCTTACACTACACAATCTTTTTCTTTCATTAGTCACCCACTTTTAAAACTGATGCTGTACACATTAAAAATATATGTTTCCATTCTGTTTTGAAATATTAGAATATTGGACACTCTCAAGGCTCTCTCTGCAAACCCAGTAAGCTACCCTAGGAATGAGACACAGGTGCTCCAGGTCGCCCAGGGCCACACCACTACACCGCCTTCCCCATGCAGTAGCTGTTCTGGTCCCTGCAGGCATTTCTGCTCATAGTCCCTATTACAACTCCCAGATGAAATTCATGGTGCCCAGTTAATTGAATTTCAGATAAATAATTTTTAGGACAAGAATATCCTGAACATTGCATGGAAATAGTAAAAAATATTCATTGTTTATCATAAATTCAAATTCAACTGTGTGTCCTCCAATTTCTTGCTTTTGACTGAAGCTGGCAACCCTACTTGGGTAAACCTCGCCCTTTCCTCTGGCCTCACATAACCTTTATATGCCAATAACTTCTAAGAACTCAGCTTTAGTTCCAACCATTCTCCCATAGAAACCACAAACCTCCTGCAAATTCTTATTTTCTATTTTATTGGAGTGCTCTACTTTTCAAATTTGATCAGTTTTTATACGATCTGGGAATTCTATGTGCTCATTCTGGCTTTTTCCACCTGCAGCAAATCAACACAGGACATATTATTTCCCTGCTACGTTCTGCCCATCCCACCCCACTCCCAACACAACCCCCTTCTCTCGAGGTCACTCCCTCTGGTGACAACCCCAGCTCCCCTCTCTGCCTCTGCCCCAGCCTTTGACTGGTGTCCCAGGACTGCTGAGGCGGTTCCCGTCACCCACCCACTCCCATCTTGCCAACCGCTGTTGCCTCTACTTCAGGCTGGGACGTCTCTGGTTTTCTAGGTGCAACTTCCACAAAAACTTCCAGGACTCTACGAACAACGCTGTATTTCTCATCTTCCTCTGCCCTGTGCCTCCTCCTGATTCATTCTGTGACAGAGGAAGCAGAAGCCCATAGCTCCCAAGCAGGAGCTGAACAAAGTGAAGAACAAGTAAAGACAAAGAGGGCAACTTTAAACACTGGCATCAGGCTTGGTAATGCCAGCGAACGTCACGTGTTGGCAAAATCATAGAATCGACACCTGTACAAACAATAGCAGGGCCCCATCAGCTTTTTGGGATACCTAAACCTTATTAGGAGAAATAATTAAAGTATATCTTTAGCTCTGTGATTGCTGAATTTATAAGATTTGTCCTCAAGAGCTGGACTTAATAAATCAACCAAGTAATAAATCAACCAAGGCACCAACAGGCTGGCTCTGCCCACCGCATCCCACACCTGGGAAACTCAAACTGGGTTCTTCTCCCAGCCCTTTCCCCACTCTTATTTGCACCTGCATCTCTCATTGCAGAACCAGAGTTCCTTGAGGAAGGTAGGAGAAGGATTCAGAGCTGCCCATCTGTTTCAGGAGAAGGAGGAGGAGTAGGCTGACCAGTTGCAGACAGTCACAGGGAACAAATTTTAGTGTAGGACCAAATCAGATAGCCTTCCTTGTACGGGTTGTGATGACTTCCTAAGTACCTTTCACTAGATGAAAATTCAAATTGTTTTTCTTTCTTTCTTTCTTTCTTTTTTTTTGAGAGAGAGAGAGAGAGAGAGAGAGAGTTTTTTAATATTCATTTTTTTTTTTTTTAGTTTTTTGGCGGACACAACATCTTTGTTTATATGTGGTGCTGAGGATCGAACCCGGGCCGCACGCATGCCAGGCGAGCTTGAGCCACATCCCCAGCCCTCAAATTGTTTTTCACTGTGGTCCCTCTAACATTGTACCTTTTCCTTCAGCAATTGTCCTAACCCTCTAGAAACAGGGTTGAAACATGCTCCCAAAGCTTTATGTGAGTCACAGGGAGGCTGGAAGGTCAGAGCAGTGAAGAGAAAGGGCTGCTCTTTCTGTCTGTCCAGTCCTGCAGAAGCAGACCAGGGCTCCAGAGGTGACTGGGCTGCAGCAGAGTGGTCCATCCTCAGAGAGCCGCTGCAAACCCTCCCGGACCTAGAGAAGACTCCCAAGAGCAGCTGCCGAGTCAGTAGAAAGGCCAGGCCTTGCAGTCGTCTCAGAAGTGACCAAGGCCCGGGTGTGTTCTGAGCCGGAGTTCATTCACTCGCAAACGTGAACCCACATATTTAATTTCACTAGGTCCTTCCAGACACTCATCTGCATGGTCGACCCCTTGGCACCAGCAGTTGCCTGAGGACTATCCTTCCAGTCTTCCTTGGCTTCCTACTGTCCACCTTTCTAGTTTTTGCCAAGTGTCATGGCTACAAAGTCCTATCTCAAGGTCTCCTAAACTTCTTCTCTGTGGCTCCTTGTGAGTTTGAAAACCTGGCCATATATCTGTTGGACATTCAAGTTTCCCTTTTTTGTGGCTACTTCCAGTTCATACGCCATGCCCGTTTTTAAATTGGGGTTCTTTTCTCCTTCCTACTGATTTGTGGAATCTCTTATACTTTGTATTTTGGATATAAATCCACAGTGACCTTCAGATACTGAAAACGTCTTGTCTGTGCCATTGCCCATTTCCTCTTTAGGTCCCTCTGGAGTTTGCTCTTGTTCGGGAGATGAGCAGGAGTCCTTGTGTATGATTTTCCACGTATGAACTGGTTTTCCCAGCACAGCCCATCTTTCCTCTGCTGGATTCCAGTGGAGCATTTATCACACACCAAGATTCCTCTTGTAGCTGAACCACTTTACGGACCCTTGTTTCTTCTGGTACCAGGAGCACATAGTTCTCATGATTATGGATTTAAAGAATGTCTTCAGATCTGGTTTCACAAAATCTTCCATCTTTGTTCTTCTTCTTTTTTAAATTGACTTAGCTATGTGAGTATATTTAATCTCCAATATGTTAGAACAAAAAGCTAACCTACTCCTAAAATATTCTACTGGACTATTAAGTACCTACAGTCATTTGAGGGAAGCGTTGTCCTTACAATGTTTGGCCCTGTCTATATCACATCTTTTTTTATGTGTGTGATCTTTAATTTTTTTTCTTCAAAGTGATCTCATACATTTTTTCTTAGAGTCACTGCTTTATATCCTGTAATTTTGTTGTGATTATAACAAAATTATTTCTGTGGCAGGTACCTCCAAGATGACTCCCACAATCCCCCACCTGGTCTTGCCTGGGGGCTGGACCTACGGACTAGCTTCTAACTAAAAGAAAACAGCACAGTGTTGGGATGTGCTCCTGAGACTGAGATCCAGGTAGAGTTATAGCCTCCGCCTCTCCCCCATCCACGCGAGGGGAGGCAAGCCTCTGTGCTGGGAGCAGCGTGGCCTCGGTTTCTAAGATGAGTGTGTTCAAGCTTCCAAGTGCAGTTATTGCTCCCTGTATTTAGCATTTGCTCATTTACCTGTTTTGAGATTCACTCTTGGGCACACCTATGTGCACAATGTGAGTGTGATCACAAAATCAGGAGGCTCAAGACCAGCCCGAGAGCAGCATCCCTGGTGGGAGCTGAGGGGCCGGCCTGCAGGGCAACGGGTTGTGGGGCACAGCTCAGACAACATCAGAGGCTGGAAATGCTTGGCTCTTGTGGGCGGCCCTTTCTGATGCTTGAAATGCTTCACTGCAAAAACACATGTCATGGTGAGTATGTGGGAAAGCAGATCCACCCGGGCTGACTTAAATGTCAAAGTCGTTGCTTTTGTCACCCACTGTTTCCTTTGGTGCCTGGCATATGTTGGGGCATGCGGCTGGATGCCTCGAGAGACTTCCGTTCCGGGGGTCCCATAAGAAGGCACCCTCTGAGTCTGAGGTGTGGCTTGCTGTCTGTCACAGACCTTGGGACCTCAGTTAGTGACTCAAGAGAGCCATAGCTCTTGTGCTCCGCTGTTATTTCACAAGAAGATCTCTCCCCAGAGCCTTATTTGCCAACCAGCTGCAGCTCTGCTGTGTTCCTCTGCTTGGCGGCCACGACAGACTGTGGGCTTAACAGCAGACTGTTTCCTTGCACTCGTCGAGGCTCCAAGTCTGAGATCAGGTGTCCTTGTGGTCGGTTCTCCTGAGGACTTCTCGCTGCGTGCTCATGTGGTGGGTCTCTCTCTCTCTCTCTCTCTCTCTCTCTCTCTCTAAGGAAAGTAGGCCTCAGATTCACACCCCACCCTTGGGATCTCACCTCTCCTTAATTTAATCACCTCCTAAAAGTTCTTTTTCCAGATACACCTTGAAAGTTAGGGCTTCCACACATGAACCCGGGAGGGAGACAGTTCAGTCCACAGCCACCGTCTACCAGCCTTCTGAAAGCTGACAGGGCTCTAGAATCTTGACCCTAGAGTAACATGGAGATCACAGCACCACGGACGTCCAGCCCTCTCCCTTATTTCACAGTTGTGGGCACTGGGCTTCAGAGGGATGAGCGGGCCCTCCAGGATCACCAGTAGAAGAGCGAGGAGGAAGGCCTGGCCTGGCTCCTAGTGCTGCCCACCACATCCTAAGTGTGTGGAATTGAAACCCATGGGTTTGATCTTTGTTCAAGTCCGTCCCACACATCTCTGGCACCTGATGTGCACAAGGCAGCGGAGGATGCAAGGATGTGACCGGGTCAGGCACGGCTCCTGAAGGAGCCTCGGCGGGTCCTGTCCCCATGTTGCCTTCATGGTCTTTAAAGTCCACTTGCACTTTCTGTCCCTCATAATCAAACACTGATTCAGTTTTCCTTTGGGATGGTGGGAAGGAAAGGGGGACAGAATGATGAGTCTATTGAGCACCTGCTGGATGCCAGGCACTGTGCATGGACGTTGTATACATTACCTTATCTGG